TTCCTCAGTGAGTAACGCTGTAAAACATTTTGTAATTGCCGTGTTTAAAATAAAATATAACCCGTGAGCAAACAAACAAATCGATTTCATCCAGAGCATTCGTTCTCTCGCGAGCACATCGAATGACGAGGGAGACGAGTTAAGTAATAAGCTTCTCGAATTAGCAATGGTCATGCGCAACATATTGGAATATAGAAGAACTAATGCAATTTGTACCAAGTGTCGGCGCGGCTGGGATGGATAGAGATGATGTAAAATGGCCTACACGCTAGGATTCCATTTAACAGAGAAACCTTGACAAATTGCTTTTGGTTTGCCCAGCTGTGCAAGAGATTAGTGGCGTGAGCCGTGTGTGAGTGAGGGTAAACGAATGGGTGTGAGTGTGTGTGTGTGTCCGAGCTGCCCATTGTGCTTGTGCTCATGCGATCTCGTGCGTCCACGGGCCGTGTGAGTATGCGTTGCGTGTTACATTCACACAGCGTCGCCTTCACTTTGTTACGGTGGTGGTGAATGCGTGTGTGTGTGTGGAGCAGTGGTGTAGCGGTTAGCGCTACGCTGCGCTACGAACCTGGTGACCCGGGTTCGATTCCCGCTCAGGGCCACCAACAGTGACGATTATCTGAACCGGCCCTGGGCCCCCCCCCCCTAGGTCGACTCAGCCTCAAATTAGTACCTGGTGCAATGTGTAAACATCGCCACTAGGGAGACAAAGGCAACCGGGCGTGGTGTTGGTCACCCACCCCCTCGTGTGCCGTGCCGGTCTTTATAGGTGCTCGCTAACAACGCTTGCCCCCACTTCACCCAAAAGTCTGTTAAGGCTACACGGGGGATCGTTGTCTCTGTCTTGTGTGTAAACTGTGGACCGCACGAATGTGTACCCCCGACTGATCTCTCGCGAAAGGCTTCTCATTGTGCAGGCAGGGAGGGCGCATGATGTTTCAATTAAAGCTCAAGTTGAGACTTGTTTAGTTTCTGTGTGCGCGTGTGTGTGTTGGAGTACGAGTGGGTTTGGCGAGTGTGTTCTTCTCGGGGGGGGGGGGGTGCTGGGGAGAAAGAAGTAGAGAGCAACATTTTTTGTCGTTGTGTCAACCGAAATGCGTTGGCCGACGTTTTTTTGCGCGGCCAGATGAAGCGTTGAGTCACAGAACGACATTGAGAGCGGTCGCTGCTTAAACGATCGTTTGAATGCGCGCGGCCTCGATGCGTTTTAAGCGTTTCGCCGGCTGTGTCTGCACACAGATGTCAGTCGAGTCTTCCTACAAGCAGCGTGTTTTTACAATTTTCTCTTCGATAACAGATACACAACGGTGTGACGAGGCCTTCATCCGCTGGCCAATGGAGAATATCCGTTGAGTTTTTTTACAAGATACAAAAGCCACTAACAAAAACCTGTTACTTCACGAAACAACAACAATAACAACAACAACAACAATAACGTGAACTCAAATGGGATATGCAATTTTGTGATGGCTAATGCGCAGAGCCTTTATCTATCCACTGCTGGATGAAGGTATCCTTATGTTTTGCTGTCACTAAGGGTTGCTTCACCAGTGCGGGCTGGTGAAGGCGGGGTGGGTTGGGGGGGGCAGTTTTGTTCATATGTCACTCGCCACTGATGTTAGCCGGGGCAGGGACTCGAACTCAGCATCGGCGGGGTTGGGTTGGCGCAACTGCCGCTAGCGCGAAACCAAAAGCTTAATTTCTGCGAACCAAACGATCGAGGCCCCCACGACAAAAGCGGGGCGGCTTAGGCAACTCCACGCGCACTCTTCGCGACGCGGAGTGACCGTTTGTCGAATTCGAGCAAATTGCGCGCGACAATCTCCACGCGTACCCTGTGTTCGTTTCATTTGGGGCCCCGTTGTAAATCCACAAGAAGGCCCGTGCGCGTTTGACGCGAGGGTCTTCGTTCGACAACGGATGCGCACACGTGGGGCAATTATCAGGCGCGAGCGACGGCAGCAATGCAATTACCGGGCGCTTTTTTGTGGGCGCGCGCGCACGCGCACGCGCACACGCACGCGCACGCGCACGCGCGCACACGCACGCAAAACAACTATTAGCACGTGCGCGAGCGCGCTCATCAGCGTGCGCACGCATATGCAAATGTGATTGCGGTAACCGTCCACTAATTAAGTTGCTGAAAGTGGTCTGTGTGTGTGAAAGGTGTTTGTGTGTGTGTGTCAATGTCTTGTGTTGGGGTAGTGTAGCGGTGAGCGAGCAAAAGATACGAACCCGGCGACCAGAGTTCGATTCTCTGCTCAAGGTCAACACGAGTGACGATTATCCGAACTGTTCCTGGACCTCCTCTGGGTCGACTCAGCCTCAAATCAGTACCTGGTGTGGTGTGTAAACATCGCCGCTGCAAAGACAAAGCCGGTATGGCATGGTGCTGGCCACCCACCCCGTCGTGTGCCGTGCCGGCAATCATAGGCGCTCGCTAACAGCACTTGCGCAGCAGTATGTTGAGGCTATACGGGGCTTCGTTGTCTTTGTGTGCTCCACCACATTCCTTGTGCCCCGCCAGTAACATTCATGAGTGTTTATACGCTCCTACACAAAGAGGTCGCTGGCTCAAAATAATCTCCTGGCAAGTCGAGTGCGGTGGGGTAAATTCAGGGTACTTCCACCACTTCCAAGGTGTTCGGCCAGTGTGGAAGAGTAGGCCAAATATCCTTTAAAGCTGCTCTTTAAAACGCCCTTCGGTAGAGGCCCCTTCCGACAGCAGTGGCGCGGGAATGCAATTGCATTGCCGCACCTTCATCTTTTTAACGCTATTGCAAACAATATGTGCGTTATATTATTTAATAATGTCATACTTTGTTTTTTTTCCCCCCAAAGTCTGAAATGTAACACTTTGGAGAGGTTAAGCGCGCTGGCCTGCCGTAATTTTAGTAACAATCTTGACGCGCCACTGCATATGGTCATGGTAGACTTGTCCAGCCTTGACAGAGCGTGAAGATGACGGGATGGAGGCTACATGCATTTGTATAAATGGTCCAAATGATTTGTTTCACTCCTGGGATGCTCGTGCGCTATGACCGAGTTGCCTGCGCTTTGTTAGACGATTTGTAAAGCAGCAGACCCAACCCGAGTGTTTGAATAAAGCCTTGGGACCTACACAAGCATTGCTAATAGGATGGGGCATAGAAGCTGGATACAATGCTTAAGGTGAATGGATATGGTGGGCGAACAATGCATTTCGTCACCAAAGTGGGCCTTGTGGGAGGATGTTAATTTAATAACCGTTCACGTCCACCTTAATCAAAATGCACTTGATATTTGCGAGCCAGTAATCATATATTGCGCGGCGGAGCGGTGGCTCAGCGGTTAACGCACTGCGCCGTGAACCCAGCGGACCGTGGCTAACATCAGTGGTGAGCGATATCTCAACCTGTCTCAGGTCTTCCCCCACAACCTCCTTCACCAACTTGTACTTACCATCGTGATTAAACATTGTCAAACAACCCCCCTCTCCCACCACTGCCCCATAACCAACTTGCCGTGGGGAGGCCCTCATCCAGAAGTGGATTGACACCAAGCGGCTTGGCATGTACGTTTATAATCGTATTGCCATTTCTTTACGTAGGTGCTCACCGATGAATTTCGACTGTTTACGAACGCTGAGTGAGCTGAGAAAAGAACCTATTAAGCATTTCCATGCGTGACAGGACCAAAGGATATTCCAAATATCAGTCCCACGTGGAAAGGAAAAAGGTCGCAGGGATCGCAGGAGGTAGCAGAAGTCCAGCAATTAAAATAAATAAATTGTGCCCATTTCTACAGTGAGATTTACGTGGCTCAGAAATGGTAATAATGTTGAGTGTTCTAAAGATGGCATTGTTATGGGTGGACCATTTGCACGTCACGCTCGCCCATAATATCAACCTATCCAGGACACATGCTGCTGACGAGCCTCAGTGAAGTCAAAACCGGTGCAGTGTTGGTCTCGCCTGAACAAATATCGCTGATAAACACTGAATAGAAGGCCCATTTGTTGCTGCATTTCTTTAAAAATGAACCATTACACGAGTGCATTTGATTCGGTATGTATGTAAAAGGAAAGTTTCATAATTTGGTAACGTTTCACAGTGCAATTTCAGTAAATTGCAACTGTGGGTGGGATATTAAACACGTACTGTACGGGCATTATTTTGCTTATTTAATTTGGTTGTTTTTTCATTTATTTTATTTTATTAATTTTTTTACCTACGTGACTTTACCGAAAAAACCGAGTATTATTTTGCTTTCAAAAATTGCCACCAGGTGGCAGACATATGCAATCAAGATGGCGGCGCCCTTGCATGACTGCACATTGGAAAAGCAAAGAGCTGTTTCTTCAAATGTTTCATCTTCTGACATTGTCAATGTTTTTTGATGGATGTGAAGGGTAAATTAAGAAAAAGGTTGATGACCTTCATATCAGAATATGGTCAGTAAGGCACAATAAACAGACCTTGTGTTGGCTCTGTGGTCTCCTGTTAACATACTAGGCACCCAATAGGCATGTGTTTTATATTCCACTTGTCATGGATTATTGAATGAACTCTCCCAACACCTACACCTATGTCCGCTTATGTGTGCTTCATTCATACTCATTTATCATTCAAAATCAGCCTCTTAATATGATAAATGTTGTTTGGATTTGAAGCATTAACGTGCCAACAACCAATTGCTCACGTCCCTATTGCAGACGTTTAACCTATTTGTAAAAATTTCTACGATTAATAGCTGTTAACACAGTGCATCTTTATTCTTTAGTTAAAAAAAACCTCGAAACGCTCGCTGTCCTTCCTCAAGCGCACCCATGCAAGGGCACCGCCATTTCTGATCTGAATACATCCGTTATCTGGCAGCAAATTACGGGTAAAGCTTATTGAACGGACATCTAGATGATGTAATTGTTAAAAAAATGTTTGTTTTTAAGTGTTGAAACAATCTCGCACCTTCGTAATTGTAACAATCACGCTGACGCATTGTCATGCTGACTACAATTGCAGGGTGCCCAGGAGTAAAGAAGAATGAGTTCGTGACAAGTCTCTTGGATGCTCTCACCACGGACATGGTTAATGCCATTAACTCGAAAACAGCGGGCAGGTAAGGACGTTAGTGTTTGCTTAGAGAATGCAATAAAATATATAAACTGCGAAGGCTACTTTACGACTGCTATTACAAACCCACTGGTTTCATTTTCATTGTTAGAGTTCATAAAGTGAAATTAATTATCCTTGGCTTATACTTTCGGGAATATAACCAAATCACCTGGCATGTGCATAGCCTCGTCAGATCTCAGAAGAGAAGCAGATTCGAGTCTGCATAATGCTTGCATGGGTGACCATCATGCACGCCTGGCTGTTATAGGCTGCTGCGGGGCTGTGCTATGTGGTGGGCAGTGCAGCAAATCCCTTGTTGTACTATACTTCCGCGTTCCCACATCTATACCTGCCACCTTCAACAGCCTACCGTCCTGGCCAGCATGCTAATGCGTTGGTACAAAGACGACCCTCCTCATTCGACCCGCCAATGGGGAGGCCCTCCTCCAGTAGTGGATTGAGAAAAGGGCTGTGTATGTGTACCTGACTTTCTGGGCGAATGAGATGTCCTGAATTTCAGAGTTAGTACAAAGCCCGACCCTTGCAAATATTCTGTGAAGAAGATGCGGCAAAAAAAAAAACTGCAAAGGCCACGTTTCTAACCCCGACAGACTGGCGGCTCGTTATGCAGGAAAACAATGCAGGGGAGAGAGAGAAATAAAAAAAATGTGGCAATTATTCTTGGGCTTAATGTTAGAGGCGAACCCATGCTAAGTACCACCTGGGTGCGAGGGAATTTGTATGGTTGTTACACGCTTTAATGGCCCCATTTTACACTGAATGACATTGATAAATAGGTACAATTATTTTAAATAATACAAATTCGTGCATTAAATGCCTTTGTTTCCAAAGCGAGGTTTGTTTATTCGGGAATTCAATGTGATTAATTTAAAATGTACATTTCATTTCTCCTTATAAACCAGCTAAATGAAGTATGCAGGAATGTAAATGCAGCTGACGCCAATCGTGGAGAGCTCAGGTTTGGCAGTTACAGACGTTTGGCAAATGTACAGGAAGGTTTAGCCAAAAGTAAAACGCACTTTTCATTTGGTGCTATATCACGTAAAAACGTGAGAGTATATATATGGACAATGTAATTAGTGCAATACACAACAGACCCAGGGATCTGAGTTTGATTTCCAGCCAAGGTTAACATCAGTGGCAAGTCATATCCAAACCGGGCTTTGGCCATCCATCACCCTTTATAAGTATGGTCAAACAACCCCCATGGCCGATACAGTGTGGGGAGACCTTCATCCAGCAGCAGGTAACAATTAATATCCCTTTGTATATATATAGATTCTCTACTTTAAAAACAGGATAATAGATAATAATGCACATATTAAGTTTAATATTAAATGGCCGGATGCACAGAAATCCTTAATTCACTTACACAAGCACCTCCAATTAGCGCAGTTGACTACGTGCACTGCGAAAGAAGTTCAGCATACGTACATAAAAGAGGAATGATTGTGGCTGCAGATTCAACGCAACATTTACACAATAAAACGGTACATCGAAAAACTGGCCTTTAGATTTGAAAAGTTGGAAGTAGTCTTTAAAATAGTGCAGCAAAGGGAATGACATTCTGGTCTAAATAGCAGCACAAGTATGAATACACGGTGGACTTGGACAATTAAATACGGAGCTTTGCAATCACCACGCGTTCTCACCGGAAATCAGACGAGAGGCAGCTCGAGGTTTGCTGCCATCTTGACAACAGCACTGCGTGGGAGTCCATCGCTGAGGGATTTCCACTTCATTATATCCCGCCCTCCCAGCATAAGCTTGCAGGTTCAGGTATTTGATTGAATGATACTGAGCCTCAAGCACACACAATATATTTTGTGTAACCGGCTGTGATCTCAAGAGACCAGGATAGCCTCATTTTGCACGAGTGACCTGGGAACGTTAGTCTGTCAGTAGGGGGTTGCCACTGAGTATCATCCCAAATCAGTAAATCTTTTGCGGTGCAACTTTTTAAGTTGGAAAATGTGGGCGATGACGCCGGAACAAAATGGCCTACTCTTGGGGATGAGCCAGGGGATCTTTAACGTCCACTGTGAAGCAGTGGGTGCATAGTGTGATTATTATGGGGCATCGTGGTGCCGAGATGTTAACTACCTTACCTGATATACAGGAGGTCGTGGGTGCGATCCCAACCTTGACAGCTGTATATTTGGAGTTTGCATGTTCTCCCCGTGGTCGCGTGGATTTTTCTCCAGGTCATCTGTTTTTTTCCCTCCACATTTAGAATCAACATGCGTTTAAAGTATTTGGCTGCAATACATTTCCACATGATAAGCCACTTCATTGGGCTATCATTTGTGGCCAGGTCGCTCTAAAAAAAGAGCTATATAGCTCAGTGGGCCTTACCTGGTAAAATAAAAATGGTTTAGTTTAGTTAACATGGTGACCTCGGCTGCCATGCCATTTCTCCGTTAATTTTTTATTATGGTTGAGAATTTTTTTTTAAGTATCAAAGTATGAAAAATAAAAATAGGTTATACCGTTTCTGGCAATAAAACAGGTGTTAAGATGTTTAAACACTAAAAAGCTACCTTTGACAAGGAATCAAGTCTGCTCTGATATGACAATGCATATATTATAGGAGCATGTTTTGTTTGCATGTTCACCACAAGTACGTGTGGTTAATGCAGACTTGATTAATTGCAAAAGGTATTTATTTGGTGTTTGGACATCGTAACGCCTCCTGTTTTACTGCCAGAAAGGGTAAAACCTATTCATATTTTTCAAACTTTATTATGGTTGTTGCACACCGCAGTATTAATCGGGGCAGCCGCTGGATTCGAGCCGCGAGCCTCCACAACAAACGGCGATGGCGCTCTCGCCGGGCTGTGCCACTGCCCCTGCGTTTTGTCAGCAGGTCTCAAGAATTGACCGTGCGAAGCTCCTAAAAATAAAAACACGGGATGGAAATATCACGGCGCTCTACGTGACTTTTTTTTTTAAAAGAGGTCACCCGTAACGCATGGATCCGACTTGCTTCTAGTAATAGCATTTCTGGGTCATTGTGCACTATGTAGCAATTAAATTAACTTAATGTTTTGTTTTTAATATTTAGCTTGGAACATCCATTCAAGATTGAACATCTCACTTGCTAAGGTGTTCAGGGTAAAACACACAGATAGTCAATTAATTCTAAAGTAACATCCCTGGAAATAAATCATTTCATAAATAACGCGAAAGCATGCTAGCCTACAGTATTTGCACTCTGAAATTTGTATATAAGGACACAGACATAATGTACGTGATTATTTGTTTAAAGAAAATACTACACGGCTGACCCCAAAATACTACATTACCTTTAAATGCTGCACAAATACTAGTGAGTTTATTGTTAAGAGCGAATTTCACGGAACAAGAACATTTGAACATTACATGTACAAATATATGTAAGTTCATCTCGACGCATGAAGAAGGATAGCGATTGAATGTCAATGATGAACAATAGAGGTGAAATGCACGCTTGATCTTTGTGAAAGTAAACAGGGAAGCTGCCTCGTGAATAGCTGTGGAGCAAGGTATTTTTAGACACTAGGGATGGCAAAGTAGAAGGGGCGACCTCTCATCGGTAAAGAGAGATTGATGGATAGCCATTATAGCAGATAATTAAAACCATAATAATAACCATGCAATGTATTTAACCAGGAAAGCCTTACTGAGCCTCGATATTCTATTTCAGGCAAGTGCTGCATTTCAATGTTTGGCCAATTCCATGAATAAGTGTTTTACTCTGCGTTGGAGACAATCAGAGTAACCAAAACAAACAGACGTACACGGTGGGGACAACATTCTAATTTCCACACAGATGGATTCAAGAATCCATTGCTGTAATGTTGATCTCTCCGGAAACAGCGGCACGCAGCAAGAGCAGCGTACATGTACGGACACAAGCGCAGTGGCGTAGCGTGGCTGCCATGAAATGTGCAACAAACGGAACGGGGGCCTCACCCTCTCATTATTCCCCAACTCTTCGCAGCGTGGGGCCCCTCTGGCCCCATGGGTCCACCTGCGTTCTGACCTTACGGCTACGGTGCCACCGGCGCTTTTTTGGCGGTCGCGTACGGATTTGTTGCCGCGACTTTCTGACCCTGCCGAAAACAATTTTTTTCTTGCTGTGGTTGTCCCACCTGATGACGGACGCTCGTGTTGCGCCCGAGACGTCGTGGTTTGTTTCATTTTATTTTATTTCTAACTACGTGACTTTACCGGAAGAACCAAGGAGTGGAGCTCCGTAGCTCACCGGATTCCTCCGGAATTAAAATAAAGACGCCGACGATTCTGTTTTTTTGCGCACGCACGCACGCAGGTTCTCGGAGCCCAACCCGAGCCACACGCTGGAGGAGCGCGTGGTGCACTGGTACTTCGGCACGCTGGACCTGGACGAGGACGAGCGCGTGGACCGTCGCGAGAACAAGCCGCTCAAGCGTCTGGCCAAGCGCAAGGGCAAGCCGCGGCGGTGTTCGCGCAAGCTGGTGGAGCACTGTGACCTCAACAGCGACAAGGTCATCTCGCTCGCCGAGATGAAGGGCTGTCTGGGCGTTCGCAGGGACGAAGGTGAGGGACGCCCGCCGGTGCGTGCGTGCGTGCATGGTCGGAGGTGCGGAGGTTCACACCGTTTACTGCTGTTCCGTGTAATGCCCTTACTTTTGAGGGTCCCATAGATTATCATGGATGCTGATGCTGCGTGGGTGAGATGGTCAGCACACTGGACTTGTGGTCCAGAGGTCGCCCGTTCGATATCCCAATGCAACAGTTGAAGCTTTTTTGTTATATATATTTTCTTTTATTTTACCGAGTAAGGTCCACTGAGCTACATAGCTCTTTTTTCAGAAGCGACCTGGCCGCAAATGATAGCTAAACAAAATGGCTTATCCCGTGGAAATTTATAGCAGCCAGATACTCTAAATGCATGCATGTTGATTCTAAATGTAGACGTAAAAACAGGAGGATCCAGAGAAAAATCCACGCGACATGGGGAGAACACGCAATCTCCAAATACACAGGCGTCAGAGTCGGGATCGAACCGACGACCTCCTGTATACCAGGCGAGGTAGTTAACATCTGCTAGCCACCGTGGCGCCCATGGGGTAAGCGTCCTAAATTACCCAGCCGTGTCAATGGGTACGGCACAGCCAGCAGTTCGCGTGCAGTGGGGTGAAGTCTATTGGTCTGCGGTAAAGCGTGGGAACTCTCACGTCTTCTAAGATGTGTGGCCAGGGTGGAAGATTAGGCCAAATACCCTCTGGAGAGCCTCTCATGAGCTTCCCTTATTGGAGGCCCTTGTGGCAGCAGTGGCTCAAGCAAGTTATTTCAGGACTGCAGCTTTATATTTACTTTACAGATTCCGATATAACGTTCATGTTTTCACTGATAATTTACTGGGACAAAAACAAATCTGCCCTTTTATCAATCCAATGCTGGACGAAAGCAATCCCATGCCATGTCGGGCATGGGAGTTTTATTACCATACTTTACCACGCTGGTCAGCGCAGGTTTGGTGAAGGGGAGAGAAGGCAGGACCGGTTCTGATATCACCTCCCACTCATGTTGAGCTACGAGCGGGAATGAAATTCGGGTCGCCAGTTTCACAGGACCGCGCAATAACTGCTTTGCCACCATTTGCTAAAATAGCACACGTGACGCTGAAAAGCCCTAATTGACCAATTGCAGCACACAGCGTTGCGCAGATAAATGTGAAATGTCAACACGATGAACCCTAAATTATCTCTCTCTTTGTTTTTTATAAACACAGGCTATTCAAGCCATGCGCGCTTGGCTGACAGAAGATTTGGTTCAAATTCTTTCTGTAAGTATTTTTTTTTATCTCCTAGCACGCCGACTCCCCTTCCTGCCACAAACCGACCCATTTTCTTATAGCCTGTCCAGCACCAGCAAAATTAAATATTGAGTTAATGCTAATAATGCATCATGCAATGGATATTTATTGTTATTTATTTGGAAATTTCTCAGAATCATTATGTTCGGTTTTACCCGGTGTCGCAATGTGGCTTGGGTCAGTAGGGGAATGGTGGGCCACGTCAACGGTTGTCGTTCGCAGTTCCAAACAAGAGTCCAAAATCACTAATTCCTAGGGGTTGGCACCATTCACCCCTTGGCACACTCCTCCCTCGACCCCATCGGCCGCCGATTCGATGAACGGTGCTTTGTCGCGATTCAGGGTCGTGATTCGATCCAAGAAGTGGATTCTTGGCTCGAAGGTTTTTTTCAGAAGCCCTTGGAGAAGTCTTTAGATTTCTGAGCCGCAACACAGGGCTCGGCGTTATTTCCCATCGCAGTTCTTACGTTTCGTGACATGATGCTGACAGCACATTTGGAACAAACAAATTGTGGGAAGAAGTTAACAATTTTTTTTTTCACAAAATGTAATAATATATTTTAAATTTTTAAATCATTGTGGTACATCTCAGCAGCCGTAGGTTGCTCCAGGGGTCGCTTGTCATTAAATAGAACATGTGTACGAATGGAAAAACGCATCACCTATTGCACACGCTATTCAATGCCTGTAATGTGAGTATCAGGATTGATATTAATTCTTGAAGCAAAGCATTGTTCCACCCCCTCCATTTCATCAGTTATTTCATGTGTCTACATTTTGGCTACTCATGCTGACAAGTAAACTAAGCCAGTTTTTCAGCCCCTCGCATTAAGTCATTCATCGGTTTCTCGTCAATACATGGCAATGGTTACTTTGCGGGTACGTGAGTAGGGTCCACAAACCGAACTCTGTCTCTCATTCCTTACACCGAATATCACAATCCGAAGGGTTTCCATACAGCGAAGTTGCCGTTCGCTTTTTGTGCTTTTTGGGTGTCTAGTTTGTTGTCCATCCCCCCGTGCCTCCGATTAGCATGGTTGCCTGCATGGGAAAGAAGTACGTGCATTTAAAATGCCTGGGTGTTTATAAAACGCGTATAAAAGAACGCTAGGCCTGGGAACACGCAGCCGAGCTTGGCTCGTGGCAACGCGACTGGTTTCATTCCTGACAGAGAGCGATGCTGTAAAGTGAGAAGAACGGCAACAAACTTTGTACATTGAAGTTCGGGTCCCGAAAATAACAGGAAGGCCCGCATTGCTTTATCTGCACCGCGTCTGCTGATATTTTGATAAAACAAAACAAAAATGTAAATAAAAAAAGAGAAGGACAAAAGATCATGTTTATTGCCTCCGACCAATCGCGAAGCGAGTTCGAGACCATGCCCCGAAGTGTCGATGCTGGCGTGTCGTGCGATTAAATAAAATAACGAAAACAACACCAATCGGTATAATGTTTTCGTTAGCCCGCTGTCAGTGCCCGACGATATATGCGGCAAGACGCGGCGAAAGTGGCCATTCAAAGAAATGTCGTACGTACTTGTCTTCTGTTGAAAAGTCAAAGTGGCTTTACTGTTTCAAACGAGCGTGGAGGGAGTGCTCATGTCCCGCTCACAGCCCTGAGCCAGTGTTGGAAGTTGAGTCAGTGTTGGACTGTTTCTACCAGTGGGGACGAGTTTATCGATAGGATAACCACCGTAGACTTCCTCACAACGAGGTACTAAATTTATCGACCCTGGAAGACCGATATGCTGTCAACCCAACCCTGTCCCCCTCCCCACCCATCCCGGATTTGCACTCACAACCTTCAGATTGCGAGCCTCGCGCTCTGCCCCTGAGCCACCTGTCTTCTGTAGCGAGTAGGAATAATAATACTGTGTATATTTCCAAGCACCTGCATATGTATTTGGCCACTACACATTCCTGGGAACCATATTTAATGTGCTTATTGACAGACAGGCTCAGCTCACTGTCAGTGTTTCGGAGGAACCCACACAGGCCCCTAATGCTTTTTTTTTCCCCACCGCGAAAACAAAGTCTCACCCAGCGAGCCCCTGCAGCTGCGCCGGCTCCGCTCGGGCCGAAGCCCCTATCCTGCGAACGCGACGTCCACAGCGAGGTTATCTCGCCGGCAGCGACGTTTAATTTTGCGCGTAGTTTTTACGAGCAGCCAACGGCATTCGGGAGAGTAGGTTTTTCGGAGTGATTTTTCTCCAAAGCCGAACTTGATCATGAATCGTAACGTGCCCAATGCGCCTAGGGAAGAGACGGTATTTTTTTGTTGTTTTTTTTTAAATAGAGCGTACTACTTTTCCAGGATATATGGATAATAAACTTCATTGCCAAATAAATTACATGACTGAAAGTAGGAATTAGAGAAGCACGGAGAGATCCACGCTTTGAATTTCACTGAGACAGAAAGAGCAGCACATGTGTAGTGGATTGGAATTAGGTGCACACGCAACTTCTTGGGAGGCAACACTTATTTATTAATAAACACAACAGTTAACTCTTACATTACGCATAGGGTGGTGACCACCGACTTACTCTAGCTAACACACACTTCTCAGATACTCTAGGGAGGTACAGCCTCCTGTCTTGGCGGGACTTACACGTCTACCGCTATCATAGCGTCCTCCGGCTGGGACCTACACACGGATCTCTTCTTGGCGTCTTCACGAGACATCTTCATTCTTGATACGGGCAGCCTCGAACCTCGTGAGGAGGCTGCTTATATGGGCCTCGGCGTGCCCGGGCCCTGCCCCGGCCACGCCTCCCTTCTAGAACCCTCTCGAAGCCCCCCCCCCCCCCTGCTGTCCACGTGCCCCCCAAGGTGCCCCCTAGGCCCCCGGCCCCCACTGGGGTCACGTGTCTAGCCGGGGTCACAGAGAGTGCCACGACCTCACACCACCCTCGTGGCCTCCCGAGTCCAGAACCGGCCCTGACGTCATTCCCGCCTCCAGCCGGGATGACGTCATGTGTGTGTAGACCCGCGTGGTCGTGACGCTCCCCCGCATAGCGACGTCACACGTGTGCGTGTGTACGCAGTAGTGATGCTACCATCACTGCACATGCATTCGAAACGTTAAAGGCAACACATTGAAACTGTTCAAAGTACGTGGGGCTTGAACATCCACGATCTATCCACTGCTGCATGAAGGCATCTCCTCGATGCGACAGTCCACCTTACTCCTGCACGCGAGGTGGTTTCATCGCTCCACCTCCGTGTTAGACGTCCCCTCGCGTGTGCTGTCGTGCCTGTTAGTGCATCATTAGTCTCGACCACAGCCATCATCCCTTCTAGATAATCGTTAACATTGATTCCGAAGCCTCACGGTACCTGCACAGCATCGAGAATTGCGTGTCCAAGAGGCCGTGGTTTTTACCCCCGTGTTGTTCACATGTATGTAGGTTGGACTTCTTTCGCACCGTACGTAGCCAACATGACCCCATTCAGGCTGCTAGAAGCCGCGACATTTACTGCAATATTTATATTTAGAAGAAAATAATTGGTGCTTAAATTGAGGCCCTGAATTCCGACAGTTTATTAAATCATGGGGAGGCGGGCAGCACGCCATTGCACCCAAATAAGTTCAACATACAAACATACATAATGCTAAGCCAACCAATTGAACCGTCATGACTATCAGTCAAAGTACTGAATACATTTATCCTGACCCAACATTCGCTAATTTCTGCAGAACTAAAGGTTTGAAATCAGACACACATAACTGCGAACGTATACACAATGTACAGACAGTATAAACTACTGAAGTGTGGGTTGTGGAGGGAGGGGGGAGGGGAGATAACTAGTTTCTGGCGGGGGGGGGTCCAGAGACCTTAGAAAGAATTATAATATTCGTCTTCAAGCGGTTCCCAATGGGGTTAGGTGCAGCAACGCAGCACAATCTCCTCATTCTCTTCATCATTTTCTTTTTTAACCATGAGAGTATTGAGACGTAAAAAAAAATCATCACCTGACACAAGGTGGCCAGGTGGCCGAGAGGTCACAGACGCTGCAGCCGGCACCGCTGAGATCCTGTGGTCGATTATCTTGGGCAGCCGCACGTAATTAAATCGGTTTGTCAAGCGTAGCAGGTTGATGTTCTCAGCCTGGTCACCGATAATAACTGCAAAAATAATAATTCCCCCCCCCAAACCCTCCCACCCCCAAAAAAGGTATATTACAAATACGTTTTTAACTTAATTTGACTATATTTTAGCTCTAAGAATTAAACGATTGCTTGTACTCTCCTGCAATAAACACCGCTACGTGGTGATCCAAGCTACTACGTTTTAAGTTAACCAATATATGGGGTGTGTGCATAAAAAAAAAACCCCACACACTTGGGAGGCTTTTTTCAGAAGCTGTTTGGTGAACATCTCTTGCGCAGCCATTCACAGACTCACGGGATTTGGCAGCTTCGTGAGATTTCCAAATGAATTATTGGTTTCTGGTCATGATGCCGGAGAGAAGGTTCTCTGGGAATAACGTTTGGGAAAAGACCGACGATTATTATTATTATTGCTGCTGCGCGAGATTTCGCGGCCGTGACTGCAAGGCTCTCCCAATTGCGTTTTCCGGTTGTGCCGCGCCGTCTTGTCGTTCAAACACGACGCCCGACGTTTCGCTCCACGTTCCCCGGGAAGCTCCTCCAGGAACTGAACGACCGGCACGCCGAACACCTCGCAGTACAACGCAAAACCGGGCCAGAGAGCTCGGACCTCGTGTGTAGTATTCTTTAAAGTACCAGACAAACGGGCATTATCCGAGTCGTGTTCAAACTATTTGGCACAGCAGATGTGTGCTGAAATGTTCGGTACAAAGTGCAGCCATGGGGATTGTGGGAAACCCGATACCTCGAGCCAACCACCTTTTTTTTTCCTTTTTGCCACGGCTTAGTGACATCCATGCAAAATCGTCGGGAATTAAGCAACATAATTGGTTAGCCGCACCATATCAATCTTATTACTCGAGTGTGATCTAATGAGTTATGCTAATGGTTTTGTCCCAAGGTGACTGTGTTATGCAGTTAAGTTTTTTTATTAAACTAATTGGACTGCCCGAGACATATTTACTGCTGCTAAACAAACACGCAACACTCAAATGTGTCTTGGGCAACAGTATGAAATATCGCATTGTCACATTGTCATTACGATCGCATTACTGTTACGTCTATGATGCATTCATTTCTCACATATGTAGACCAGTGAATCGCAGCCGTAATAGTGCCCACTTGTACGTGCATTGATTGTAACGTGCAGGTTGACACGTGAAATATACCAAAATAATCTGCTATTGTGGGGGGGGGGGGGCATGACAGAAATAATTTCATTTGTAAAGCCTCAGCTACATGTCTCCCCAACCAACCTCAATGTGTTCATTTAAACCTCGTAACACATTTTGTTAGATACGGAGAGGAGGGGGAGAGGCATTTCCTTCACAGTACAAGACTGAATTTAATCAAGCCAACCCAGGTCCACACCTTGAGCGATCGGTCACGCAACCCGTTGCACTGCAAACTGCATCATAGCTTGTAAGCGGACTTCCAAGCAACCGGTTGCGAGAGGTTGTGCACGCGGGGACGGACTGTACTTTCAGGCGTTGATCGGCTCCAGTGAACCCTCTCACCTCCGACGAGTGCGGTTGGCGACGTACGGTGCGAAAGAAGTTGAACATACGTGCCATACATTTTTTAGCTTGAGTGGGGGAATCTTGTGGGATGTGGATCGGCATACATGCAACTGAAAGCAATTCTTTTTGACGGCTAATGTTTTGTATGTTTGTTTTCTGTCTCCACAGTGAGCATGGCATGAACATCTACGAAGAAAAATTGAGTTATAACATCACTATGAAAACAAAACAAACAAAAAAAACGTCTTCTCTTTGTCATGATAAATGTACAACTTCCAAAGAAATTATTTGCACTTTTGTAATGCGTAGTTTTGGTTCCTAAAACCCTTGCCAGACCCCTAAGAATGTCCCTGTTATGCTGCCAAATCTAGTTTTCTAAGTTAAATTCAGCCAACAGTGTAGACTACTGCAGCCTACCGTACTGCCATACGTCTGTGATACGTTCTGTTTTCCGTCATTATTTTTGGTATTGTTTTTTTTTGTAGTTTTTGTATCGTATCTTTATTGCCGGTTTTTTTATTATTTTACATTCACATACAATGTATGTGATGGCCTTGAAACTTTTCTTCTGAGTTCTGTTCTTTTTGGAGTGTATACACTAGTTGTTTTTCACAAGTTGTGTTTGTGTTTGAAGGATCTAAGCTGTGTAAATCTTCTTGGTTCATAAAGGGGCTTTTTTATCAATTAACATAAAAACAAATAAAAACATGAAAACCTACTTTGTCGTACTTTTCATTTATTTTGTTGACCAATGTTTCCTTTTTTTCTTCTTGCCGAAATGTTGAATCGTTGACACAAGTGTGGATGTACGGAGCTGCCCTGGTGAAACGGTTATTGCGCGGGCCAGAGGTGGTCAGTGAAATTTGCTTCGATGCCATATCCTGGCGTTGCAGTTGAAACAACGGGTGGAGGTTTCTGAAATCTCCCGCGCTGCTTACCACCCAGCAGAATAAATGGGTTCACCACAGTTCGCCGATCAGCACGTCGTGTGCGGTGAAGGCAAAGTGTAGGTACTCTTCTTCCGAGACCTCTCTGGCCGGTGTGGAAGAGTAGACCAAATACCCTCCCGTGGAGAGGCCATTCCTCCAGCGAGTGGGGTGAGCAAGCAATTGCAGGGCCGTGCATGTCATTTAAAAAAAAAATTACCCTGATACACTGCCACTCGATTTTACAAGTATGTAACACAATTCTCTCCCAGCGTTTGCTTAAATGTTCAACAGCTCGCACAAGCTCTGGGATAAGCATTTTTTATTTTTAAAAAGCGACCTTAAAACGCATTTCATTTCTTACATACCGTGTTTATTCTTTGAGTTCACCAGAACCGGGCAATAAAAGTCATGAAATATGGCCCAGGCTACTTAATACACTTTCCAGCAAGCGTCAAGTGTAAGTGTTTCATATGCTTGGTCGTCCGTAAACTGGGGGCTGTTAGTTATGGCCGAGAAGGGCCGAATAAATCAAATGATACGCTACCCAAGCCTCGTGGCTAATAGAATCAAACCCATTCATGGCCTGGGTATTGACACCCTTGCTTCAAGGGTGTATTGGAACACAGCAGGCATTTCAGCTAAAAATAAAAATAAAGTATTAACAAAAAATAAATGTTTCTGAAAAGCCACCGTACCCAAAACATTTAAATCTTGAAACAAACTTTTCTTCCAACATTGTTTGTCATTTTATTCTGAGAATCATAGTAAAAAATAGTCAAAAGTGATTTCTTTCTCAAAATCACCATTGAGGTCGTACTCATCTGTTTCTAACCCTGAGCTTGTCGTGGAAATTCCACATTCCTATGCTGGATAGTCTACATTCTCTTCATAAGACAACGACTTTCGAATTTCCCACAGGGCTGTTCTTATTTGTTCGAACTCGGTGGGATAATTGGCTGTAAACCCATGATGTATACACTTATTTTAGAAGTTACAGCCCACTGCTGGCCGGATGATGGCACCCCCACATCTTGGTGGTCATGGGGGTTGTTTGTCCATACTTCACCATGCTGGTCAGTGCGGACGGGTAAGGTGGGCGGGCAGGACCATTTCAGACATCACTCGCAACTGAAGTTAGCCACGGCAAGGAGTCAAACTCAGGTCGCCGGGGTCACATCGCAGTGCCACCACCTCTACCCCCCCCCCCCCCCTTATTTAATTGTCCATTAAATTCAAAAAGGATTCTTTCAATAGAAAAGTGGGTCACTTGTGATGAAATGTGTGATAATTTTTGGCGGCTCATTATTTCATACACAAGGCTTGGCCCTATGAGATGTTTTCTGGTGATTGCAACATCACGACAATCCAGCTATGAGTCAGCTACATCTGCTATAATATTTTGAGCGCGCAAGCATGGCAAAGGCATGCACAGGCTGCCCATAAACGAACTCCTCGACGCATGAACACAACAATAGAACTTTAGACGAAACCGTTGGGCAAGGGGACGAAGCAAAATATGTTGCACGTCGCATATTTGCAAGCAATTCTTTGCACCAATCCCGACATCTGTTTATTGTGTTTTTAAGGAATACAGGCATGCAGCATTTATATGGGCAATGTCGTACGAATGACCCTGTGCAATTTAGAGAGCATATTCCCCACTGTTTTAAAAAATTACACCAACTTTCCAAACTCGCCAAGTCAAACACAAATTTGAATCCATGGGTTCTCTAACTCGTGGGGTTATTCTGCGTAAATTTTGGTTCATTTTCCATGCTTGTCCCCAAAGAAAAATATAAAGGCTGGAACTAATGAACGAAACAATGATTCGAAGAAACACCACGGCTAATTACTGATGATTAAATAGTTTACAAACTACTCCGTTAGTCTTAATGTGATATTTAATTGTGCATCCAACACACAAACGATCCGCTATGATTCACAAATAAAGTAACAACATTGGTAAATAGAACAATTGCTCTACATCTCGGACAAGAATGTAGTCGGGTGGTGTACCCCTCTAATCCAGCACTGCGCAGGCAGCGAGGATTGACGGATCGCACAAGCGACTGTGAAACTCCCTTCCCGTGGCCGTTGTGATGACACGTGCCCTGGCTCGCCACGAGAAGGTGGTACAGCAAGTGTGGACTCCCAACTCTTCCATCTGTGTGGGTTGAATGTTTGCACCCATTGCACGTACACGTTTACTCAGGGCGCTACGGTTTCCACCCACACGTGAACACCCATAAAGTGATGAAATATCTTGATATATGGAGGACCGCAGAGCTCAAGCAATTGCGGCGCCAGGTAACAACCTGGCCGGCTTTCCTCATTCCTCTGTGGTCCCTCTTAAGCCCCTCTGAGTCGTTCTCTCTCTTTGCGAGTCAGCGAAAAACTGTACACGTTACAATATTAAATTGTTATTATTGCTCTTATTGTACGTGTGTGTGTGCGCATGTATGGAAGAGGTAAGGTCCTTGCAAACAATTTGAATTTGAAAGTTTAATAAAACTGAAAATTATTTGCTTGGAGAAACAACAGCAACAATAATAATAATAAAAGGTTAAAGCATGAAAGAAAAATACCAAGGTTGTGAAATTTAAATAAAAACTGGTTTTAAAAAAATCCGAAAGGGATTTTCTTTGGCAAAACAGACTTAAAGAAAAAAAAGTCAAGAATTTTGTTTAAATGTCCTCTATTTATTTAGCAAAAATGAGAAGAAAAAAGGTCACTGGAGCTCAGCCCAAAGTGGAGAAAAATGTAATGTTTAAGTTTTTTTGTTAATTGCAATCACTTTGAGATATGTTGAAGCGTACATTTCAAGTCACACTGGCGTAATTGGTGCGGTCAAAGAGGAGGTGTGTTAAAACGAATCTAAAAATGTAATTACGTTTTTAGATTAATTTTTTCCACTTAAAGTATCTTGGCATCATTTAAACGGACACATTTAAAACTGAAGAAAATAACTTTGAGATTGTAACATTACGTAAACATTACAAATGCAAGCACGGTTGCCAAAATACATTGTGTCATTGTCTTGTGTGCCAAGTGTGAGTGTGCGTGCAAAATGTGTGTTTATAGTTTGTGCGTGTGTAGGGGAGACGTGACATAATTGCTCGTGCTATAATCCGAGCCACACAGGTTTTGATTCCAAGCCATGCACAACACCAGTGGCAAATGGAATCTGGACATGGGCCTGGGCATCCCCCCCCCCCCCCCCCAGGTCATCTCAGCCTTAAATTGAGCGACTGGGTTACAGTGTGCCAACATCAGGGCTCGAGAGACAAAGGTGGCCAGGTCGTGGTCTTGGTTACAGCACAGTACCTTATTGAGTGCCACGCGAACTATCCCGTGGCTAATTATCCTCGATTTAGATTTACAATCGTTGCTGTTCAAACAGAACCATACACAAGATGAAGAAGGTGGTGCCGCGCTTGACTTAATAGGTGATCGCAAACAACACTTTTTCCCCAACAGTCTGCTTGGATAAACATTGGATCCTTCCCATTCGCGTGCACGAACGCGTACACGCGTGCGTGCGCATTAGCAATATATTAACATTAGTGTAGTGAACACTGTGTAAAATTTCCTCCCCCCCACCCGAAAAAAAAACCTCATTATAGAATTACCAGTGAGCAGCAGTTACACCAATTAAAAGTATCATTTACATGGAGAATTAAAGAGCAACGCTGAAACATTCGCCACTCCGCACGTGGCTGGCGCTAATAACTTAATAAACGAATGGGGGCAGCAATCAATCCAATTACCGCCGCCAACTAAAAGGGGGAGTTGACATTTTCGTTTTAGAAGCGGTGAAATGTAAACACGAAAAAAGTGTAATTATTGTCAAGCTTGGTCATTTTAACCCCACAGCTAGAGCTGCACTAACAAGCATTTATTTTAAACATTTGCAAATCTCCCCCCTTCCACCTCCCTCTTTACTCCATCACCACTGCCCCCCCCCCCCCCACTTCTCTACTCCCCGCCCCCCAATAAAAATAACAGAAAAACCTCCCTTTAAACATGCCCCAGAGAGGTGGTATTGGCAGGAGTCCCAGTTAAATATCAACCGTGCTCAGAAGCGGGCCCTGCTCAGTTCGAAACAACTGCAGACTGTTCCAAGAGGCTGCTTGGGTCTCAAATTAGCTGCATTAGTTTGATGTCAGAATGAGGTAAATATTTTTCCAAAAGCCCAAGCGGTCAATTTGGCACTAGAGGGTTCTTTTTTTTAAACGGAGACCTTGGCTTTGACTGAGTTTGCTTAAGCAACGGCATTGTCAACAAGTAAAACAAGCCCCACAAACTCAACCCTGTCGGTGTTTGGATAGCGCGTGATGATTAACGCATCGTTGTTGTTATCCGTGGTCAATCCACTGATGGATGCACGCCTCTAGCGTTATATCGAGGCACATTCGATTAGCGCGGTTCAAACAGCGGTACATATACACATCGTGCAAATGATCCTTATGGCGGTATCCCGGGGTACCAAATCATACAAAATGGCCAAGGCAATTAAATATATTTTTTCTGGGACACTATTTTTTTTTCCAGGGGTGTACTTAACTTCGCGACTGGGGTACCAATCAATCCGAAATCAGTGCCACTCCGCGATGTCGAAGCACAGCGAGGACGTTTGCGCTGAAACCCTGAACGCTCGTATGCACCAGTTGATCGGGTGGGATCTTGGTGATTGGGAATCCAGGCCATTATCTGCCTCTCTCAGCGCTCTCGATGAGATCGAGGACTTCAAAAAGACTTTCGAATCCAACTTCATTGCAGACCAGCTGGG